GGGTTATAGTCCCTAAGTGCGGCCGAAGGCCGCCTACACAGAAAGGTGTTCTCTTTAAAAGGTGTTTTTTTTATAATTATTTTACATTAATTCAATTTTTGTAGAACTCTACATCATATATATAAAGTACGTATACCAAGTTATCCATCCATTTGTTTTTAAGAAATCTTGATTTCAATAAAGCTTATTTTGAACTTTAACCTTTGCTAATTGTTGTTGTTGTTGTTTCCCTAAAAAAGAAGTATACCGTTATACTCAGCTCAGTCATCTCTATCGATCCCAATATTTTGTTTTCTAATTTGAGATTTGGAGCCAAACTGCATTTGTTCCAAACTTTTTGCTACAAACATTTATTTTCAGCTTGCAGAATTTATTGCAAGATTACTTCAAAAACCCCTTTAGAAATGCTTGTTCGATCAGATTTCAATTATTAAAAGCAATGTCTATTCAATTTACAAATAAGAAGAGGTCATAACAGCAAGGAGTGTTGCTTAAAAATACTTGGAAGTACTAGTATTATCGGTGCTATTTTGCAAATACGAGTACAAGACTCGATTCTTCTTTAGAGTATTCTAAATGAGTACTGGTATCGATACTTTTCTAAAAGTTCTACCACTACACATCATTTGTGGCCCCCTGCAGCTCAAATAGAGCTGCCTCCACGGCAAACCCCAGTCCGCCTGATCAGCTCAACAAAAACACCACAGCACCACAACACAACACAACAGACCAAACCAGGACATACCATACAAGAGACACAACGGCATCACTACTCACACGCCGGTGCTAACTTCTGGTTCTCCCAACAATCTCCACGGTGTCTCGGACAAGGATATTCCGTAATATGGTATCAGACAAGTGCAACACCTGCCTTAGCTGGTGCCCACTTCAGGGCAAGTTCAGGTCTGCGCACCACGCAAGATTGGACGAGGAACTTCGAGGGCCCGTGTTGCGCCGCACGGTCGCAAGCCCCAGTTGCGACGCCACCCAATACCACCACAGAGCGGCTTTTGCCACAGCAGCGCACAAAGCCAATGGCGGTTAGGCAACACACATCCTTCACCCCCCGCATAACAACACGTCTCCCGAACCAGTCGAAACTCCTTCAATTCAACTGCAGAGGACTTCAGAACAAGATCGAGGAGATAACCGTCTTATGGGAAGGCACGGAAGATTAGGCATGTTTTATTGAACCATCACAAGCAAGTAGCTAAATCTTGGTCAAATAAAACGAAATTAGCTTATTTCCTATGTTAGCCTAATTTTGACAGTCGTTTGACTGCAAATAGTGTCGAAAGTAAGTTTTTGCCTCTTTCTGATTGGCTGAAGGAGAAAATTTCTGATGCTGAATGGCAATGCCTCTTGTTCAATATACAAGCCAAGATAGCTATTCATAAGCCAATATAATTATGTTGGGTAAGTCCTCATACAAAATAAGCTAATGGCTTAAATTTCTGGACAAATAAAACACGGTTATTGATAGCTGCGGTCCAAGAGACGAAGTGGCACAACAGTTCCACATTGTTGAATTGCGCCGGATACAATGTGCACCGTCGAGGTCGCGAGCGAGATAATGGTGATGGCCTAGAGTTCATTACGCACCACACCGTGCAGTATCGTCTAATCGAAGCGGACATCGACCGCAGGGATACCATCTTAGAATGGCAGGGCATTGATATTCTGTCAGGCAAAACCGAGCTCGAACTATTTAACGTGTATATACCATCTCTTTGCCCGACGGGATATCACCCTGAAATAGGTGCGCTACTCGGAGGTGTAAACCGTATGGAAGTTGGCGACTTTAGTGCGCATCACGATATTTGGCATTCAAACCTGTCAAATGATCGTAGGGGAACACACTTGGCTGAGCAGATAGACAATTGGACATTCTGCACAATGAACGACGACGCACCCAACAGGATTACGGGTAGCTACTGCAGCTCGCCAGACATACCAATAGTCAGCGCTGGTCTGCTAAACAGCATATTTTGGCGACCTATGCTGACTCTAGCATCAGATCATCTGTCGATAGTCATCTCGATCTATAAACCTGTCGACTTTGCTTTAGTGGAACACCGGGCTTATATCAAGTTTACCAAAGTTGATTGGAAAGGATTCGCGGAATTTACTGAAAGTACCTTCGCTGCCTTTCCCACGCCCTCTTCCGCAGGATTGTGACTGCTGCTGCTGCAGCCCGCTTCGTACCAGCAGGTTGTATAACGGACCCCCATCCAAACTTTGCTACTGAAGCGACTGTTCTAGCCGATGAGCGTGACAACCTTCGTCGCACGGAGATTCGGCAGCTTGTAAACGTACATAAGCGGAAAAAGTGTGAAGAGCATCTGAAGACTTGCAACTTCACCTCTGGTGTGAGGAAGCTTTGGTCTATCGTGAGATCTCTGTCCAATCCGACAAAGCGCAACGACAGAGTCGAAATATTATACTTAATACTATTTTATCCGGCAATTTTTACTACCTACCCCGGTGGACAAAGCCAAGCGTCAACTGGTCAGAAGCCTGCGCAAACTGCCAACAACTGCGCCTCTTGTTTTCACTTGCGTTCAGAGAGCCATCGGGAAGGTGAAAGCCTCCAAAGCCATGGGACAGCAAGGAATATGCATGTTGACGCTGAAGAATTTGGGTACTATGTGAGAAGACTATTTCTCTCAACCTTTCAATAGCCACTTTCGTCATTCCAGACATCTGGAAGTTGGGGAGATAACACGTCCGATAACACCTTTCCCCGGTAGCGAAGACACTAGAGGCCTTGCTACTCCATATTTTGCGAACCACCTGACCCGAGCGAGCATCAACATGGTTTCCATTAAGTGTACAGCAGAACAACAGCTCTTAACGCCATAAACACTCAGATAACACGTGGCCTAAACCGCAACCGCGCCTGTGAGAGAACTATTCTAGTGGCGTTGGACCTGTCTAAGGCGTTTGATACCGTCAGCCGCTCCACGCTGCTAGAAGACTTTGAGGCCTCCTCTCTCCCACAGAGATTCAAACGGTGGCCGGCGAATTATCTGAGTGGTCGACATTCGGCAGTAATGTTTAGAGACAAATCAAGCAAACCTAGAAAAATAAAACAGGGGTTCCACAGGGTGGTGTCCTTTCCCCATTACTGTTTAACTTTTATATATACAAGCTACCTCAACCATCAGAGGGTGTCTCGATTGTCTTTTACTCTGATGACTGTTCTATAATAGCGTCTGGGAATGGAATTGATGACTTGTGGTCGAAAGTAAACGGGCGTCTCTTTCAGCTTTCTCGCTCCTTCACTGCTAGGAGTCTAACCTTCTTCCCTACAAAATCCTCTGCGACCTTGTTTATCACCTGGACGAAGGAGGTCAGACCACCGCTGGGTATTCACGTCGATGGCGAAACAATACTGACGGCGAATAACCCAAAAACATTCGGAATCACCTTCGACAGTCTGCTCTCCTTCTCGGCGCACACAACCGCAATTGTCAACAGAGTACAGAGCCGCAACAATGTCCTCAAGTCTCAGGCCGGCAGCACTTGGGGCAAAAACAAAGAAACATACAAGGCAATTGGCCGGCCGGTTCTAAATTATGCAGCCCCCGTGTGGTCGCCGGGGACTAGCAGGACTTAGTGGATGAAGCCACAAAGCTGCCAGAACACGGTATTTCGGACAGCAATGGGATACATTCTGATGTCGCCGCAACGCCACCTTTACGACGGGCCCAGATGCTCCCAATCAAGGAGCATAACACAATTCTCTGCAAGCAGCTTCTAGTAGGAAGCCACAGACGTGGTCACCCATATAGAATTTGTTCCACAACTTTTTCAATCAGCAAATGTTCTAGAAATGGGCGTGGCAATTTAAAAACCAAACATCAAAAATTTAGAGTTTGTTGTTGACTTCGGCATAAATAATACCTATATTGCGGAACAAATGTTGTTAACGAATGGATATTCTGCCGAAATCCGCAATAAAATCTGCGTTTTGCTAACTTTAGTCCCACAATTGCCCCGCCCATTTATAGGGGTTTGTCGCCTTAAAGAAAAATCTTGCCGTACAAATATTATTTCAGGGTAGGTATTCTATTCTTGCAAAAATATCTCATCATAAGTTTCCGAAAACAAATTAAAAAAAATTGTTGACTCTGACAAAAAAACCCATCCCGTTATAAAAAAATATTTTAAAAATAGTTATCAAAAAACGACAAATTTTTTGAACCATGCTTTTTATAGGGAATTAAACAAGGATTACGATGGTGTAATTTTAAATCCGCAATTTACTGGTCTTCACTATGCAAATCAACGTATAAAGTTCAACCGTTAATAGCTAAGTTAGCTTTAGGACAGTCATGACCATCTTATATATAGAAATATTAAGCCCGTTTCTTTGGCTTTAAAACGACCTTAAGATGAAGTCTACGATATGAGTAATACCCGAGATATAACGATTTGAAGAATTACATGATTAGTCAGAATCACAAAGAAATCCAAACTTTGACAGATCACATCTCCGAAGAAAAAAATAAAAAAAAATTACTCGAACACGTGATAACTTATTTCATGTATAAAACCCATAAAAAATTTAGAGTGAATCGTAGACTTATATTTTTTACGAAATCCGCCCGACTTAAAAAGGAAAATATTAATAAACTAGAATTGGTTTAGATAAAGAACGTCATTTTAAAATAATGGTAAGTGACAACAATTGGGCTTGAGAGCCCATTAAATTTAAATAAACCCCATTTTAATTAATATTTGACATTCTCGTCGCAGTCGAATAGAGAGATCTGCCGAAATCACTACTAAATACTTTGTTAAATATATTTCTGCTTATATATACATATAAAACATTTTCGTTCTGTTACTTTCAGTATCGGCTGACGATATATGGCGTGGTGTTACTTCAGTTAGCAATGCTGGCAGAAAAAGGGGCAGAGGTAAAGGGTCTGGTAAAAAAATAGCAAAAGATCTGAACAGAGGTCAGATGATAGGTGCGGGAAGCAAAAGCTTTATTTGGCCTGGACTAAATTCCCCCATCGTTCGAGGTAAAACCTTAGTGCAGCATGAATATTCACCGCAGGATAATCAATCAGACGAAAGTGTGAACAAAATACGGGACTTTTTGAGCAATTCTCGAATTTTTAAATTAAGTTCTATTGATCGCGGTTGGTCTGGATCAAAAATGCCTGGTCGCAGTATTGGACCACCAGACCGCATTGGTGATGAAAATTTTAATAGTTTTGATACCAGAGTACTTGAAAATAAAATTGTATTTATAATGAAAGGAAATATGGGAAGAAAGAGACGTTACTCCGTATTATCCATTACTGGAAACGGTCAAGGCTTGGCCGGTTTTGCTGTTGCTAAGGCACCCGAAGTGCGAACAGCTTTAAGAAAATCAAAAAATAGAGCAGCTCAAAAAGTAATCAAAATTGAGGTTTGTGATAAACACACGGTATTTCATGATTTTTTTTGTGCGTTTGGCCAGACAAGAATATTCGTAGCAAGGAAACCTGAAGGCTATGGCCTCGTTTGTCATCGAGCTATCAAAACTATTTGCAAAGTGATTGGAATACAAGACTTACATGCCAAAATAGAAGGATCAACTAATTTGCAGCACATAGTAAAAGCATTTTTCTTGGGGTTGTTGCAACAAATCACACATGATGAAATCGCAAAAAACAAAGAACTGATTGTTGTGGCTCTTCGTAATGAAACAGGCTTAAAGCCACAAATCATAGCTCAACCAGGCTATTGTAGAACACATAATGAAATTGCAAAAAATGAAATTTTGAATTACACTCAATATATTTTGGGCGATAAAATTATTTTGAATAAAAATAAATTGGTCCCTTCCTTTGTAAATAGCAAAGGATACACATTATATTTAAAGAGAAAGGAGCAAGTGCGAAATCAAGACAAAGCACGCATTAATATGTACGCATTTAGCGGTGGTCTTCAAAATAACAATGTTTTCTTAAAATAAAGTCACACTATATTAGAATATAAATAAAAAGATTTTTTGTACTTTACAAAATTACTTATTTTCTACGCTATCCGGAGTACAGACAATGTGTGAAAAATGGGAACAAGTGAAGAATACGAGAAATACAGAAATAAAAAAAATTTACGTCGATAGAGATTTTTGAGGCAAATGTAACGGTGTAATTTTTTGGGAAAACGAGAACGATTTTTTGGGGAACGAGAGAGGTACGAAAGGTCAAAGGTCAAATGCAGCCCTTTTTTCAAATCCAAATATCCCGAAAACCATTGCACAGATTCCAAAAGATTTGATTTCGTTCAATAGGAAGTATGAATCCCTTTCATTAGATACATATATACAATGACGAGCAAAACTGTAACATGGTTTAACACTTTTTGTTTCAGCCACCGCTATATTTCCAAGTTCCAACGACTTTCATCCTTTTGTTGAATATTCTTGTTGGTACATCCCTATCCCTCTCTCATAATGATTTGAAGTCAATACAACAACAATAAAAAAACCGGCAGACAAAAATGTAAATTAAGGCAGATGTTACAGTTTTGCACTCACTCTCAGTTTTGCATTTGACAGTTATCTTTTACTTAGTTGGAAGTCAGATGACTTTTTTCTATATTGTAATTTATTGAAGAAGTGATCACCAGTAAATAACATAGTTAATCAGGAACCATAAATGTAAATAATAGATTTACTGCGGAAAGGCGGAACCGCACGAAAAGTGGCAAAAATTTGGAATTTGCTACTAAAAAATGTTAAGACTTAGAAAAAATATAGCCTAAAGTGTTCCCAAGGACAAAGGAACTCTGTTAAAAAATATTACGGTACGATATCTTGTGAACTTAGAAGCAAGTAGCGATGCAGCCACTATTACAGAAGCGCTTAAGGTATTAAACTTTAATGCAAATCAATAGACAGCGAGGCGAAGAATTGCCAAATTGAGCGCAAAGGCATCATAAAGAAGAAAAAAGCAAATTTGATCAAAATACATGTGCGAGTGTGGCAGCATTTCGCTGCATCGCACGAAAACCGAACCGTTGCCTATTGGGATATGTTAGGCCGTTCAGAATGCAATAAAAAACATATTTTTAAGTTTCAATTGAAGGTTATTTGGTCCCACAAGACTAAATTAATCGCTTTCATGGCCGGGCATGGTATTGGGTCAAAGACCCAAATTAAGCCCATACGCAGCATGTAAGGAAAACTGTGAATAACAGTGGTCGGTCAATAATAGTTTGGGATTGTATTTCAAACATTTTCTTGGTCTGTTAGTACACATTATGCGTGAGGAACAGTATCTGTTTATATTTCAACAAAATTTGCAAGATGTAGTCGAAAAATGAAAGTTTCTGCTGAAAAATCACCCAAAACATACTGCATATGTTCGCAAAGACTGGATACAAAAGCAAAAATTTGCTAATTTGAAATGACCTCCACAAACCGCGGACATGAATCTCATCGAGAATTTGCGAAATCAACAAAAGCACAGCTTAATAAGTATCAAAGTCCGTAAAATCGAGTACATGAGCTGTGAAAGCAAACTAAGGATATACCTCCAGAATTTTTACAAAGATGCAAATAAGGTATGCCAAATCACATCCAGGAACTGAAACAGGCAAAAGAGTACTGAACATTGTGTTAGTAGTTCTTTATTTTCGTGCAAATTGTTAAAAAGCTCTTAGAAATATATGAGTGCAAAACTGTAACATCTGCCTTAATTTACATTTTTGTCTGGGTTTTTTTTGTTGTTGTATTGACTTCAAATCATTATGAGAGAGGGATAGGGATGTACCAACAAGAATATTCAACAAAAGGATGAAAGTCGTTGGAACTTGGAAATATAGCGGTGGCTGAAACAAAAAGTGTTAAACCATGTTACAGTTTTGCTCGTCATATGTACATTAGGGTTATTATTTTTACACTTTTTTTAAATTTTGATTTGCCTGTGCTTGCATTTAATGAACTTTTGTCCATATATTACTTTTTTGTCGATATTTTGTTGGTTCGTGAAAATACCTCCCGCGCACACTGTCATTTCATTTACAAGGCTGTTGCATGGCAAAGCCCCATACCTAGTATACAAATTCGACCGAAATTCCTTTTTGCCTACCAAGTTTTGATTTAAAAACGATGTGTATCAGCACTAAATCCAGAATCTATTTTACTTTAATAAAACCATAAAACATTTGAGAAGAAAAACATGTTTGAATATTAATTTTCTCCATTTAGAAACTGACAATAAATTCCGCTATGCACGGGAGTTTTTTTTATAATTTATCAAAATTGTTGTGTTGGAAATTTATACAAAAGTTCATCGTTTGCCACCACAGGCATTTACATCTAGAAAAAATCATAACCCTAATGAACATCTTGTAAAGTTTTAGCAAACATCAAATTTATATAAAAAAAAATTTATCAGAAACATGGAGTTTATTCCAACGTCAAAAAACGAAAGCATCATTCTCTTTTATATATGTTTTTTTTTTAAATAGCCAAAATAAATGTATTTAAAAATCTTATTGTTCGGGACGGGGTGAAATGCGGGCCGGGAATTCCTCATAAATTCCACGGCAAACGAGGGTCGAGGAGGTGCAGAATCCCTGAATTAGTTTACGAACAGTACTTATGATGCTATGACTAATTGGCCATTAAGATTTAGTAACATATAAATGTAGCACTACAAAACGAATAGAGGAATATAACTGATCGAACTATTTGACTAAAGTTTAGACAAGAAAGATACGAACAGGACGGCTTGACATTGCATTGTCAGCCGTCATCAAGCGTAGAACAATGTTCTTCTACTGTTAAGTTGTTAAATTGTATTATATCCGCTTTGTTAAATGAACTTTATGTTGTATTAAATTATCAAACTAAATAACCGCGTTTATGTATAAGAGCGAAGGACATTCCTACATGTATATACGTAGTTGTGATACCAGAGTACTTGAAAAAAAAATTGTATTTATTTTGAAAGGAAATATGGGGAGAAAGAGACCGTGCTCCGTATTATCAGTTACTGCACGCGGCCAAAGCTTGGCCAGTTTTTGCTGTTGCTAAGGCACTCGAAGTGAAAACAGCTTTGAGAAAATCAAAAAATAGAGCTTGGCCAGTTTTTGCTGTTGCTAAGGTACTCGAAGGTAGAACAGCTTTGAGAAAATCAAAAAATAGAGCTGCTCAAAAAGTAATCAAAATAGAACAAAAATCAATATTTTGCAATACTCTACCAATATTTAATGATTCGCTCATTTTTATTTAAAAAATATCAAAAATTTGGAGAAAGAAACAAATAAAAGCAGCTTTGCCTAACCTCGCTTGGTTACGTTTCAACGGTTGTTTATTCATTTTGACAGCTGCTATTTTCTGCTAGTAAAAATTTTACTTGCAGAAATTAGCAGAAGATGCAAAAAAAAAGCATAAGAACGAGATAGAGCTGCTAGTTTTCTGGTTTAAGAAAGCTTAGCAAAAACTAGGGATAATTATCTGCAAAGAAACAAAGCTAATATTTTAGTTTATATTTGGTCGTAATGTAATCTTTTTTGAGAACTGATGCTAAATTTGGTGCCGTGCATTGGATATTGTAGAAACACCTTTCATTTCAAAACTAATCGTCCCTTGATGTGTCTATGTGAAGAATGTGTTCTTATACCGGAGAAACTGTGTAATACAGCGTTTTTACTGCATTTAAAATGCAATATTTAGCACTTTCGAACATATATTTTCGAAGAGCGTTAATGCTATCGCATTTACCAAATGCACATTTACGCAATTTCGAAGTTGTATGCTTTTGACAAATAGCCGTGTTTCAGTCGCTTATTCAGATCCGTCTCTACCACGATCAATTCGCACGAAATTAAATGACAAAAAAAAAATCAACACAGTTAATACGAAACCTTGAACTGTTTTAACCATAACCGAAAATTTGTTTGGGTAATATAATAACTTGTCGGTGCTATCAATAAAAATTGCTTAATGTAACTATGAAACAAAACAAACAGAGTTAATCACAAATTGGTCCAGATTTCTTTCAGCATCGCATCAACGTTGGATTAGCGGGACTTTTTTTTTATCAAAAAGTTCAAAATAAATGAAATCTATCGGCGATCACTGAAACGCAACTAGCAACGTATTCGCGAAAAATCAATGCTGTCACTAGGGCTGCCAACTATTTCCAATATATTTATAGTACTTTTTCAAAAAAAAAAAATATAGCAAACTTCAAATATATTTAGTCAAATATATTTTAGTATTTAAAAGAGAAAGTAAAACAATTTTTACGTGATGGAAAAAGTTCTCCCTTTGAATGGCGCGAAGTTGTTGGAATAGAGAGTAGAAATGAAATAATTTTAAGTAAATTTGTTAATTCTTTCTGAGTGTTTTTAAAAATATGTTACCTTGTTTAATTATAAACACACAATGACCTTTTACTTTAAAGAATATTTCATTTAATATTGTTATTTCAGTATAAAGGTCATCCATTTTAATACACATTTTTTCGTGCAAACTACTGAAATATATTTATATTTATAATTGAAGAAATATAGTATTGTTTCATACCATATTTTTTCTTACATGTAAGATGTGTGTAAACAACATATGTAAACACAAAACAGCTGATATGCACTTTGACAAAGTCCGGCCTGTTTTGTGCAGGAATAAGAAGACACGATCCAATACGTTCCAATTTCCGCTCTCTATTACCCATTTTGCTGAGTACGGGAATGATTTCTGGGCTGTTTTGGACACCCGCGGGGTGTACGGGAAAGAACCTATTGTATGATGGCCGAAGTGAGTGAATAAAGGAAATGGCCACTTCCGTTTCGGATTAACCAAGCAGCTGAACAATCATGGGGGTTAAACTACGTGTCAGTCAGTGGCGGACCCACGAGGGGTGTTTTATTACATAGACTGCATATTATACATACATATGCGCCATATTAAAACACACGCGTGGGTTCCCCACTGACTGACACGTAGTTTAACCCCCAAAACCCCCCGCTGGATCCGCCACTGGCCGCCACCGTTAACATTACTGCTAATATCCCTGAAGACAATACTACTTCCGTTGCGATTTCACGAAAGCGGATAAGTTGGAGCAAGAAATTTGAAAGCTAAAAAAACAGCGTGAAAACTTAACTCTGAAGCGGGAGATGAGATCCAGCACCTTCAAAACCAATCGCATCAGGGCAATTCTTTTGACATGTCTACAATTGAGGTTATGGTGCCAATGTTTTCAGGCGACGATAGTTACGATGTACGCAAGTGGTTTGGTGAGCTCAAGGATGTCTTCGGCTAGTGCAGGTCGAGACACGTATGCAGTTGCTCTGTGTTCGTCGGTTGTTGGATGGAACCGCAAGATTATTCACCAGTACTGCCATAGCATCAAATTACGTCAG